CAGTCATAATTTTTTTTCAGTTTTGGTTCCTTTTGTTTCAGAAATTTACTACTACTCAAACTTATAACAAATCATAAATTAAACAAATCTAGCTACATGGTGTCAAATAAGACAATGTTAATGCCAAAAACAGCAAATAAAAGAAAATATTGCCAATATTTTTTCAAATTTTTAGTAAAAAATAGAAATAATAACTATTATTTATAACAAATAAGTTATAATAATAAGTGTTATAAATTTGTTTTGTTGTTATTTATAGATATACTTATTTTGTTTACTTTTAATAAGATTATTGTTAACATCAATATTTTTAATTGACACCATTGACATTAGATTTTAACTTTTATATTTTTTTTAACTTCATAAAAACTAATATCTTTCAAATTAAAAAAAAAATTGGGTCCCTATTTAAAATTAGAAAATTGAATACAGCGTGCGGCAGAACTCGCACCCCAGCGAAAAATGCCATGTCAGGTTAGATACCAAAAACATGAAAAAAATGTTAAAAAAATTCTGTCTATAAAAATTTCGAAGTTATGAAAGTATAAATTTTGCATTTCTCTTGGAAAAACAATTTTTCAAGTTTTTTTTGTTACAGGCCATTAGAAGAGAAAACAAGGAAGCTGTATCCAAAATTGTAACTGTTTAATGTCATTTGTGGATTTTATTGGAAAAATTTTTGTATCTTTACTACATAATTACAAAAAAAAACATATACAAGATCATCAGTAAATAGACATAAAAAATGTCAAATGTGAAAAAATAAATGGCAAAATTTTTTGACAGAGAACTTTTAAACATTTTTTCCATGTTCCTGGTATCTAATCTTATTTGAAATTTTTCTCTGAGGCGCGATTTCTAACTCACCCTGTATAGCCCAAAATACAGTATGTCCCCGGATTGAGTTTACAAGAAAAAAATGCTTATCTAAGATTTTACGCCAAAACTGCAAAAGAAAAACATTTTTTGCTTACCTGTATCTTGCAAATCTGAAATTAAAACTTAATTTTTCTGACTCATTGGAAAAAAAAGTTCATTTTTCTCTTGATTTTGAACTTGTAATAATTCTTCTCTGCGTTTTAAATTCCATCACATTGGCGATTTTATTTTTTTGACAACGATGTCACTTTTACAAACAAGTTTACGCAAATTAAATAACAAAAATGCTTGTGAAAACATAATTTTAGTAAATGACAACTCAAAGAAACAGCTTTAAGATAAAAAACAAAGTAATTTTTTAACAAGAACAATCGTTGTTCATTTAATTATGACATCATTGTCAAAAAAATAAAACCGACAAAAAATAAAATAAGAATCAAGAGAAAAATTAACTTTTCTTCCTTCTGAGTCAGAATAATGTATTACAGATTTGCTCACTTTTGAAGTTCTGGCGTAAAATAAAAGATATTTTTTTTCCTCTTGTAAACTCGATTCGGGAATATACTGTGACATTAGAAAAATTCTAAATTTGTCAGTTTATACTGTTTCAGAAGCCATTTAGTTAATTTTTTTATTTTTGAAATCGAGCCATAAATAAAACTTCTACAGCGCCTGCCGTTTTTTTTTAAATCATCGCCTGTATAAATTTTATAAGTTATAGGTGTCCCAAAAATAATTGAAAGAAAAACTCTAACCGTTTCATTTGCATCTATTTTCTCCACTCTGCCCTACACAYAAATACTTGTAAAAAGCTTAAAGAAAAAAATTCTAGTAAATAACTAAGAATGTAACTAAAAATGACCAATAAAATAAAATAGTTCGAAAGCAAACCATGACACTAATCTTCATTCATAACTAGGCCAATAAAAATATTTATAAATAAAATTGCATTTCCGGTGAAACTAATGATTAAAAAAATGACAACAAACTCGAATGAAAAGTGAACAAACCATACATGGTCGTTGTTATTTTCACTAATTACTTTTACAACTCCTAATCACCGTTTTCATTGTTACAAATCTAGAGTCACAATTTTTTGCAAAAATTAGAACGCTACAAACAAAAACATTGCAGGTTGTTTTGCATTCCAGCATAGTTTATTAATTAAAATAAACAGAAATAAACAACGATATGAATAATTTATCAAGTTGTAAAACGCAATCTAACGCTTGTGTATTAAATTTTGGTTCCACAATCGGTCCAGAAAAATCCCATTTCTTGCATCACAAATCAGGGTGTGTCCTCGCACATTGCACCGATCCTTGGCAATGACAATGTCACGCAATTTCAAAGTATGACTCAATCGTTTCGTGTCTCGAATTTTGATAAGAAACCTTCCGAGATGACGTGCTTTTTACGCAACTTTCAAATTAAAAAAATTTTCGTCGTATCTCGACCTGTCAGCTCCTATCGCCATCTCCTTCCGGTACTTACAAGAAAATGCCTTCAACAAAGACGATTCCGAGCTAATTTCGTTTAGAGGGGGGCTGTATTATTCAATTAGCATTGTGTACTCGATCCACTTGAGAAAGGATATCCGATATTATGCATTTAATAATTTATTTCAGACGACGGATATGGAGGAATGCGCACTCATTACGGCCATTTAAACGATTCTTCCAGAAAAAAAAAACAAATAGTTGATTACTTTTCTGGGTTTTAACACGAGCGAAGCTTACGTAAAGTCAAATTTCAATGGCAGTTTTAATTACCACTCATTTGTTGGCATAAAACAATGAATAAATGCATTTTTTAACCTCCAAGCTCGATGCAGCAATAAAGAAAATTAGTTATTTAGATTTTTAATTATTTTTTCGCGTTGCTTAATGAATGTATCTGTCTCGAATCACAAAAAAAACTCTTCTTGCTTATTTAAAGAATCTAATGAGGAATCGTATCCTTGTTACAATTAATTAAAACGCAGTTTTTTTTTATCATTCAAAGAATGGAAAAAATTTAATGATGTCTAGGTCAATCAATTTGAACAATTTTTTTAACTTATCGTTTATTCAAAAAATTGCAATAACGAATTCTTTAAATAGAATTGTTTCTTTAATTATCACGTAGCAGAATTTTATTAAATCTGCATTTACTGAGAAATAATACGCTTCATTATCGACCGTGAATAATGACTTATTTATTATTCACGATTTTATTAAAGATTTTTCGAGAAACGATTTTCAACAAAAACAACAACAAAGCAATAAAGAAGATTCGTCAAATCCAGTTTTCTAATTTTGAAAAATTATTTCTGGTACATAAATTTCAAGTGCAAATATTTTTTCCAATGAGTTCGTCATTTTTGAATGTTTTAATATTTAAAAATTTGTACAGAAAAGTCAGAGGCTAAGCCACTGAAATTATRTACCTGAAACTATACTTTTAAACATATTGTTTTATTTTTGAAATATGTACATAATTTGATTTATTTTGGCAAAAACTTTTTTGAAAAGTTCATTAATGGAATCCTAGAAAAATAAGATTTTCACTATATTAAGAAAAAAAGTACAAACTTTAAGGTTGTTAAGGTCGAAAAAGGAATGATTGAATTTATTTTGTACTCAATGTTAAAGGCTGCTTTTATCAAATAATTTCAGTAGATAAAGTAGTCTTTTATCGTCAAGTGAAATAAAGTAATTTTTATCTACCTTTTCACTCGTAGATAAACAATTTCTTTATCGTCTTGTGTAATAAATAAATATTTTTTACTTTCATCAAGACTCAATTTCTTATATCGTATAGGGGAGAGTGGGGCAAGAGTTCTTATGCAAAACTTCGTTTCTGTTTCAAATATGGAAAAAATACTAAAAGATTTAAATACATAGTGATTTTAAAGTATGTACAAATATTTTAACAGGTGTTAGTAGAGCTCAAAAAAAGTCAAAACTTGTCTTATCTCCGAATGTTTATAGTTTCTGAGATATTGAGGATGCAACCTCCACTTTGGCGTTGGAAAAATTATCCAAAAAAGTGTTAAATAAAAAAAAATGGTTGCAGATTTTATGACTTTTTTTGACACTTTTTTCTATGCCTGTTTTTACTAATTTTAACTTATTTTTTTTTAAACAATGTATGTAATAGATTTTGAAAAGCTAACCTCAGAGATTATATACAGGGTGTCCGGAACTCTGTTTAGTGTTATTTGTAGCTTTTATTGGCAAAATTTTTGTACCTCTACGAAATAATTATGAAAAAACAGATACAAAATCATCATTATCATTAAATAGACATAAAAAAATGTCAAATGTCCAAAAATAAATGTCAAAATTTTTTGTTAGATAGAATTTTGTAAGCATTTTTTCAGTACTCTAGGGGACTACCCAATTACTCCCTTTAAAGAAGGTGCGCGACTTTCCGGACAGCCCTGTATAAATTTATTAGACAAACAAAACACTCTGTATCTGAAAAATTATAAAGATTTGGATAAGGCAAGTAGTTATTTTGACTTCTTTTGAATCACTCGTTGAATTATTTGCACACTTTAAAATCATCCTGTATAGAACAACTGAAAACTTAAAATTTATTTCTCTACAACTTCAAAATTCCTAATGACACCGACAACTTATAGGGGGGAGTGGATCAAGTAATTTTTTTAATGAAATGAGATAAAGTGCGGGTTATTTGGATAATTCAAGATTGTGTTAATTATTGTAAAATTATTACGCCACGTCTTAAAATTGACATTTACGTGCGAAACGACGGAAATGCATCCAATTTAAACAACAATGATTATCTCACACAAAATTAAATTGCATAAATCGACCTTTGAAAAAAAAGGCCTCACAAAGGCCACACCAACCGATGGTTCGTTAATCACTCATCCCATATTGAACATCACAAATTCGTCTTCTTTGTTTATCAACCGCAATAAACGTCAAACCATGCTTGAAAAAATGGAAGAAAGACAATTAATTATCCGAAAGCAATCAAGTCATCGCATGATAAGAATAATGAATTAAAAGAAAAAATCGAAAGAGATTTTTGTAATAATGAAAGGTGTGTTAAAGCCTAACAGTAAATTTCCAGTCCTTCGCAACAAATGCGAACCGAATCGTGACTTAGGATATGAAGATGCACCTAATGCCGTTGGTGAGAGGGGATGACAACCTATATAACTGTCCACCACCGACTGCTTAGCAAACTCTTGTCGAGAGTGACCAGTGCTGTGTTAAACTTCGAACGCAAATCAGCAGAAAGAGAAGACAACCAACAGGTAGGAAAAGTAACAATTTTCCGAAAAGATTTCAATGCCAGTTTAAAATTTTTTTAAAGGTCAAAATTCACGCTCCGTCGCTTTTTTTCATAATTTTCATCAACAAGAGAAATACCTTGAAAATGTAAGAGTTAAAGACATAAATGAAAATTGCCAACAATTGAAGGCTACACTGATAATAATAAAGTATAGTACAAGACGCAATCACTCCTTCCTGCGATTATCTAATTGCCTTGAATGGACCCTTTGTTGACTAATTTCATTGCAGTTTATTGACCCTTTTTAAAAAAAGAATTGAGTCACTTAGTTTCGTTGCCATTGCAATGTTTTGACAATTATTTAATTTTTTTCCCCGATTAATGTCATTTTATTTATTTATTTTTCTTTAGGATGAAACTAATCGTGGGCCTCTTTTTGGTAGCCACCGCTTTGGCTTTACCACTCCCCGAGAGTGAAGAAAATAAATCAGGTGTACCTCTAGTCATCGCTGATTATTCCTCAGTCGCAAAATCTGAAGAAAATCACCACCACCACCATCACGACTCCTCCTCGCAATCATCTTCAGAAGAATCCACTGAAAAAGCGAGCGAAGAAGCAAAACCGACCACTGAACCCGCCAAGAGTGAAGAAAAATCCGAAAGCAGCGAAGAGAAAAGCAGCAGTGAAGAAAGCAACGAAAGCAAACCTCTCCAAGATGAAAACCCCACATCTGAAGAGCCGGTCAAGACGACCGAAGCCCCCAAAGCCGAAGAACCCAAACGCGAAGAGCCCAAACTCGAAGAACCCAAACTCGAAGAGAAGCCCAAGCCCCAAGAGCCCGAAATGAAGAAAATCGACGAACCCAAACCCATCATCGAAGAGAAAAAAGAAGAGAGCGTCCCCGCCGTTAAACTCATCATGGAAGGTTCCGATGTGGTGCAAGCCGCCAAAAACACGGTAGCCGTGGCGGAAGAATCTGCCCCCGCTCCCGCCGCCAAGGCCGAGACCTCGCCGCCCCTCGAGGCCACCACCGAGAAAATCGAAAAGCCGTTGGCACTCCCGGCACTCAAAGCCGAAGAAGCCGCCAAACCGGATGTCAAAGAAGAAGTGAAAGCCGAACCCGAGAAGAAATTGGAAGAGAAGAAAGAGGAGAAGATTGAAGAGAAGAAAGAAGTAATCGAAGAGAAGAAAGATATTGAGAAGAAAGCCAAAGCTGAGGCCGAGACGGAGGCTCCCAAACCGGAAGGAGCTTTGAAAAAAGACGAAAAAGAGGCGTTACCGGAAAAACTACCAGAGCCTGCTAGTGCAAGTTCTTGAAAAAATATTGTATGAATGACTGACGAGATCCGCTTGCCCCTTTATTCCGATTGAAAACAACAACTTAATTTTGGGAATAATTGGGCAACCGGAACTCGAGTAATTTTTTTTATTTATGTCGCTCAACCGGAAACGCCGCCGTGTTTTGTTGTAAAAACCGTGTTGTTTTTTATGCTCCCCCGTAAATTCCCGTAATTTTTAAGTATTTTAAAGCTTTCAATAAAGTTTTATAAATACGGTCTTGGTTTTATTTCTTCCCCTAGTACAGCACCATATTTGGTCATGTTCTGCAGCGGCAGCAGCGAGTCTTTGACCGTCATTGGAATGTTGCACGGTGAGTGCAAAAAAGAAACCCATCCCGGACTATTTCTTACCTTGCCGGTTAGCATCAAGCAGGCGATCACTCCCAGACTCCACCAATCAACTCCATGTCCGTACTCCTCGCCCGTCCATACCTCCGGAGCTGCAACAAACAGGACGAGGATTCAGGAAAAACTCAAACCACACACATAAAATAAATAAAGTCTTTATTAATGAACGACTCAAAATCACAACATTCATTGTTCATCTAAAACTAGAACTATTATTCACAATTATTTACAATGAATTTGAGGAATAAACATCGAAGACGTGCCGTAAGCGCCTGGATACTTAACAGTGCCGACTTGGTAAAATTTTAAAAGATTATTTTTCCATCACTTTGGTTCGGCAAATCGGCAACTTTTTTCACCCGAATCGAAACGAAATCTTCTCACTAGCCTTTCGGTACTTCGCACACAAACAAACACACTTCGATCAGGAGACAACACCCCGATTACAGGTGAAAAAGCCACCGAGACAAAGTCAGATCACACTGAGATTTTACGATCAAAATTTATTCGTTGCGTCGCAACTTTGTTAGTAACTTAATTTAAAATACGGAGGCCATAACGATACGAAAATGCCTCAATTAAAATTAAAATAAAATAAAATCTTTCGTATGGCTTAGCCGCCGCATGCACAAACTAAACTAGAAAATCACGTCAATAATCCTAAGTAGCCAACTCACAGACTGATCACTTCGAAAATAAGAAGCTGCACCCTCAAACTATAACAACTATCGTTTAAAAAATAAATAAATTCTAAAATCTCCTACTCTAGCTGAAAAAAAAAATCTCAAACAACGTCATGAAAAATCTCTCAAGCGCGTCCTAATTGACAAAATTCTACTAAAAAATTGTTTTAAAGTGCTAAAGTCTCTTTGATTAGCTTCTTGACGGTGGAGCCCACTGAGGAGCCCGACGACGGCCCCGAAATCGAGTAATTCACTTTGAACAAATAGGGCTGCACATCCGGATACGACGTATCGAAAATCAAATCCAATTCGGACTGACTCGGCATTTTGGGCAAATAGTCGTGCCGATTCATGATTTCAGCTATCGAGAAGATCTTATCGGCGAGTAATTCCCCCATCTGCTCCCTATACACTTGTCTCTCCCCTTCGCTATTCAAAGTGATCAACTCTAGACGCACCGTCCACACCTCCCAGGGGATGCTCTCCGGTTGGAACAACCACCGACTCCGAGGCTTCTTCTGGAAGAACTCGAGACTGATTTGGCCCATCCCTGTGCCCTCATTGCCCCTCAATTGCTCGCTAAAAAGGCTAATTTCGCGTTTGAGAGTCTCGTCGAGCCTTTTCGACGAACAACACACATAAGTGAGGTCGATAAAGTCGCAATCTACATCGGTGTAACCGATCGTACCGATCGAGTAACTCCCTTCGGTGCTGTAGAGGAACTTGCCGTGCGTCCGGTGGAACAACACCGTGTGGAAAATACTAGCGACGGCTTCGTCGGCTTGATGCCCTTCCACCGCCAAATCGAACATTTGAGATCGGGCGTTCATTGTTTTTTTTTTCTAATTATACATAACAAAAACCGATCACTTAATTAATTAARAGTTTGTTGACGCAAACACTAAATCACAGCTCGATAAACCTGAGTGAATATTTGACACGTAAACTAAAATTTTTTGGTGTTTTTTTGCACGAAAAATTTGATTACTATTTTGGTCCAAAGAACACTAGTGAAACGTTTTCATACCCATATATAAAAAAGTGCCGCAAATCGTACGTGTCGTTTTGCCGTACGGCAACCACTTTGAAAGGCCGAAATCGATCAATTGGACGTTGAGAGAGTCATCTAAGAGAATGTTTTCGGGCTTCAGGTCACGGTAGATCACGCCGGCGTTGTGCAAAAAATCTGAAACAACAAAAAAATAAACAATTTCATTTCCCAGTCATCTAACGCGTAACTTACTTTAAGTAAATAAAAAATTAAATCAATTTTAAACAAGTCTGGTGTCTCAAACTGGGTCATCTGATATCAAAACGAATAAATTTTGCGTAATAACAACGATAATAAACGAGATAAAAATACTAGACACTTTAGATTCTTTTTTGTTATTTATTTTGAGATAAAAAAAAAACTACAACTGTTGGAGAAAACACTACGTAATTTGTTTTTGAGGTGCTGAGTTCCACTTTCTTCTAATAAAATACGTTTTCTAAATACAGGGGGTGTTTCAGAACTCGCACCCCAGAAAAAATGACAAGTAAGATAAGATTTAAAAAAAAAAACATGGAAAAACATTTTGTGACATTTGACCAATAAGTTTGTATGTTTTTTCATAATTATTCAGTAAAGGTACAAAAACTTTGCCAATAAAAGCCACAAATAACGTTAAACATAGTTACAAATAGGAATACCGCTTTTTTGTTTCCTCTTCTCTTAGCCTGCAGAAACATGTAAAATTATTTTGCGACAGAAATAAATAAAGTCAAAGTAAAAAATTTAAGCCCCCGTAATTTAGAAATTCTTATAGATAGAACTTTTTTTCAACATTTTTTCCATCTTCCTGGTATATTCTCTAACTTGGCATTTTTCTCTGAAACACCCTAACTAATATTAAAGCACTGGAAAGAAAATCAAGTACTTTTATTACTCTCACAGCGGGACGTAAATATTTCGAAATCCATCACCGCAGGTCAAAATTCTGCACTTCATGGTATTGAAGAGAATAGTTTAGGATATTTTTATGAGGATTAAGCTACAGGCCATTTTGAGCTTACCAAAAGGTGAAGGCACTCATTAAGTGATTAACTCTGGTTTCAAATATTTCTAGAACTACTTTTCCATCTGTTTACACGTTAAAATGCAAGTTTCCCATTTATTAAAATTGATTTGTAGTAGAAAAGCATCTCCAACATTCGACATACCAAATTATGTATATGATTTTTGAAAAAAAATATAACTAATGAAAAAAAAAATCAATAATTTTTTCCCTAAAAGAAGAATAAAAAGAAAAATTTGTTGCAAAACAGCCAGTTTTTTTAAAGACAAAAAATTCACTTTATTATTACATTCTAAAACCTTTTAATTATTGCAATGACGAAAAAATGTGTTTACAACAAACATCAACATTTTTTTGAGAAAAACAACACATTTTTGTAAGAATTCACCACAACTAATATTGATTTCTCTATGATTTACTTGAATAAACAAAGTTTTTCAAACACTCTTAACCTCATTTATCAATTAAAACTAAATTAAAATTTGAAATAAATAAGCAAAAATTTAATAATTATTCTTAGAAAATATCTTACCTCCCAATTTCTTCAGTTTTTGTGCAATTTCGTGGAAAAAATAATTTACAAAAACAAAATGTCATTTTCTCGGTCGATATCAAAAACTTCTTCATTACCGATGACACACCATTTTTCATTTTTATTTGAATTCTAATGAAACACATAACTGTTTGATATCATTGTGAAAAATGAACAATTTTTTAAAAGGAAGAAAAAAAATATTTCCAACTTTTGGCTTACCACGAAAAAACCCCCTCTAAACTGAATCATAGCCGCAAAACGATACTTTAACAATACGAAATTTTAAAATATTTCACAAATTAAAAAACTGTACAAATATTCCTCTTTTTTAATTAATTAGCTTCAAAAAATGACACTGTGTTATATTAATCAACGTTTTTTTATCACTTTTACAGACAAATAAAATTCTATTTATATTGCAATAATACCAAATCTTCCTATATTTAGTATTTACACACATAAATACAATGCAAAATCCCGATTACCGTTATTTCCTGTTCTTGAGATAAACAACAAAATATTTATRTATTATGACACTCACCAAGAGCAAGGGCCAATTGTGCAACGTAAAGCTTGACTAAAGCCACAGGAAGGACGGTGTAAGTCTTCAACAAATCATAAAGTTCCCCACCGGCGACGTAATTACTTACTAAAACCCACAATTACACCAACATACCCCTCAAAATCTCACAACTAACCTATGTACAACCTCTTCTTACTCTGCCAATGAAACGGACAATCAACAATAAACGGATGATGCCCGCACACCCTCTGTATCCTCACCTCGTCTTTGACTTGCTGTACAGCGTTCTCTCTGATAATCTGCGATAAAAATAGAAAAAATAATGATAAATGTACCACAACTAGGTCAAGTTTACGCATAATCTCACCTTAGATTTAGATAAGACTTTGAGAGCGTAAACTGTCCCTTTCTCGTCGCTCACTTTATAAACTTTACCGAACGCCCCCTTGTTTATCTCACCCAAATTTTCAAAACGTTTGCCTTCACTGCGAAACGGAAATTCCGGCAAGAAAAACGATTCGATTTGGGAAACGGGCCAAGCGGTCTTGCTCGATTCGTACGGTAAGGTCAGCGTCGACTCTTTCCACCTGAAAGTTGGACACAATAATAGCACCATAAATAACACCACACACGACCTTGAAATTAGGGATGCCGGATTTTGACCCAAGAGATAATTTATCAACAGTTACATCAGCCAAACTAGCGATAAAACGACAATTCTAGTCAACTGACAAATAAATTCAAACGAAAAACAAACTTTGATACRCCTAACCTCATTTTTGTTTTGACAAGCAAAATCTGTCAAAACGTCATTTGATGACTATTTGATAAAATCATAAATCAAGTGTGACCAGTGGCGTAGCATTGGAAAAAACGTTTAGATTTTTTTCGCGGTTATGTAACTAGTGAAAATTGACAAAAATAAAACAATTTAATTAACGTTTCCGGCAACGAATTATAATCAATTCCAGAAAAACAAAGGTCAAATTTTGACAGGTGGCAACAACAATATTTTGCTTATTCATATCAATGATAAACAATAATAGTAAATTGTCAAAACAAACAAATGAGAATTTGTTGTTGTACCACCCTGAGTGAGATTAAAAGCCCCTACGCCACTGGTGGGGGTAAAATGGAGGGTTTGTGTCTTGGCTGAGTTCAATCAACCCTAACTCTAGCAAAAGAGATGTCATTGAATTTGCGGTTCCTTTGTTTACCAAAATGATTAATCATCGCGTTCGCAGCATCAAAACACTGAAAATTACCTTCTTCTGGAGACTCTGGACCAGGGCCTCGAGACACTAAACGTCGATTGGTGGCTGTTAACACTCGCAAATGAACGTCCACTCGAACTCGTACTCAAATTCTGAAATTTTCAAATGAAAATTCGCGATTTGTGACGCAGTAAACACAAGTTATTCGCTTTACCTGGCATAAATCCTCACGTCTTTGTGTATAAACTCCGTCAATACTGTCTTGATTCAAAGCTGATGGCTTCGGACTTGTATTTCCCATGAAAAAACTATTGGCAGGTGACGATTGGGGCCCTTTTTCCCACCGAAAACTACAAACATTTCCACTCCACTCTGACCTCAAAATTAAGGTAATAAACCTTTGTCAAATTTTTTGACATAAATGCGAAATATGGCCGGCAATGCAGGCACCTGCCCGACCCCAGCGCCACACAAAAAATTTAACACAAAAAATCGTCAAATCGATATCAAAAAAGCCACAAATTACTGATCCCTTAAAATATAAAGTGACTCAGTAAATTTTAATTGGGGGCAAATTGCCACTTTAGGGTTAAATAATCAATTGTTTGTCCTCAGTCGGTAATAAAACTGACAAGTGACAAGGACAAGTGTTTTAGGTTAGAAACGTAATTTGTGATTTTAATTAAGAAAAACCACAAAACTATTAATACAAGCGTTAAATATTAATGAACGTGAGTCAGTGGTTGACGTAATGGTTGTTTACTTGTGTTAAACACCTGATACAAATGGAAGTAGGTGAAGTGTCAGAAAATCCGGTTGAAGACAATGTTGAAGGTATTTTCCACTTTTCCTTTGATTGCGTCTTTAATTCACCCAATTTAAGACAAAATCGAGCAACTGGAAGCGGAAAAGAAAAGAATCCAGGATGAATTCAATGTGCAAAGAGCAAAAATGAAAGAACTCTTCTTACAAAAAGAAGGTACAATAAGTTTGTGTCTTTCCACAATTAATTGATTCYTATTTAGATGAGTTGTTACGKAGAAACCACGAAAATACGCGCTTGAATGCAGAAATCGTGGATTTAAAACGCGAATTGGACGATTTAAAAAGTCAGTTAGTTATAGCTGGGATGACCTTAGAAAACAGTTTCGAGCAGGAAAAACGTAAAGCCAACGAGGAAATTGCAACACTACAACAACTAGTTCACGGTGAGACTCGCCCTAATTGAATTGAGTCAATTCCTTTTTTAATTTTCGGTAGAAACTGTTGAAGAGTCAAGTTCTTCACGGAGTTTATACGACAGCGAACTTAAAAACCTACAAACTTACATCCAGCAATTACAAAACGAGATTTTAGTCTTAAAGCAACAAAAACAACAGTCGCCCCACCATTCCAGTCAGGTATTTTCGTGAAAAATTAGCTACTTTAGTGTTTAACTAATTTTGAAGGAGTCAAGTCTGGCTCCTAGTGTCGTCCTTAACGCCCTTACTAAAGGAATAGTTAAAAAACTAGGAGCTGACGCTTTCACGTCCCAAGACAGTGGCGATGACCCCACCAGAAAGGTAGAACTTAGCGGCCATGTATGTAGCGTTTTCTCCATTTTTCGGTCAAAACATTGTCTAATTTTGGTTATTTAGACGCAGGAGGATCCCGAGGTACTCCGCTCGCTTATTGGCCCCCTCGAAGACCAGATCCAAGCCCTGAAAGAGAAATTGCGCGCCACTGACGAACAGTTGCAAAAATGCCGCGAATGCGGCCACAAACAGGACAAAAACGACCACAATGTCGCCACAAACACGTCGTTTGACTCGCCAAAACATGCGACTTCGTGTGACATGTGCAGCAATTACGAGGACCAATTAGTGGCCGAACAGCGAAAAACGAAAGAGTTGGAATTGAAAGTACAAAAGGCGGAGAAGGCGGCTGAAAGACACAAAGAGGATTTGTTGAAAGAAATCGGCTTTCGGAAAGAAATTGAAGAGAAATGGAACGAGAAGAAAGAGGAACATAAACAGCAAGTGGCCGAATTGACTCGCAGTACGGAATGTGCCGAACAAGACTTGAAAGAATTACGACAAGTGTTTAACCAGACTTGCGCTGAAATGAGCGAAATGCTGAAAAAATTGACCAAAGGCCGCGAGAAGATCCAAGAGGAGTTGACCACGCTCCAGAAAGAGAACGATAACCTTGTTGGGAAGTACACGATTCACTCCCAAGAGCTGCAAAGTGAAGCGATTAATCTCCCGAATACTGTCGAGGAGCTCCATGAATTGGTCCTTAAACACCACCAGGACTTGATTATAGCGAAAATCGGGAAGGAAGCCGCCGAGGAAAAGGTGAATACGTTGCAATCGGACATTTTGCTACTTCGAGACCAGATTACCAACGACCAYCACGAGAGGGAATTAATGGAGAATAATCTGGCGCAGGAAATTGATTTATTGAAGTGAGTTGAGGCACTTCCGGGATGTGTAAGAGGCGTCTAATTTAAGTACTGAATTTAATACTAAAATTTAGTTTCGAAATTAGTTGAAATTACTAAAAGCTCTGTATGAGAAAGTATTTTTAAATGAGATAAAAAATTTCAGGCCAAGTTTAACAATTGCGTATAGTTCTGTTTAATTAAAGAGATCGAAAACCGTTAAATTTACAATAAAACGGTCAGCCAAGGTGTTGGAAATAAAAGAGAATAAAATTTTCCTGAAGAGAATGAAGAGATTTTTAATCTCTAACCGTTTTTGAAATATGGTAAATGGAATTGTAATTTAATGTCTGGTATTAAAAAACTACAATGGTTAGCCTTAAAAAATAAATCTTTGGAAGTTCTGTTATGTAACATGTATCTGAAATTTCATTTAATTTAGGGAAATATAAAAAAAAATGTTAAGGGACGTTAATTAATTCAACACTTTTTCATGGGCGTCGACTTTTCATATTTTCAATGGGTGCATAAACAAAAAATTGGTATAACTTGCAGCACAATTACACGAAAAACGATTTCTTCTTCCCTATGTTTGCTGAATTTATTGTATTTAATAGTTAGAAAATTTAAAAATATAATTTTTTCTAAAGTACAAAAGAAAAAAAATCAATAAATAAAAAGTGTAAAGAAAATAGTACATGTTCAAAGTTGCAAAATGCTTCAAGTTGTTGATTATTGAAAAATACATAAATACACTACTGTTAAATTTGAAAATAGAAAACAATTCGGAAACAATTAAAAAAAAACACTTTTTGAAAATTTGCATGAATGTTCGTAAATCTAGTACTTTTTTCATGAAAAAGGTGAAAAAATTGCTTTTTTCATTTGATGAAGATTACACAATGTTCAGAAACGATTAATTCCTTTAATTCTTTTGTAAAACTTTGATCTATTGGTCCGGCAAAACAGTTTAAAGCTATTGGGCGTTTATTAGACTATAAAAAAAAACCTAATGACATAATTATTTCTCTCCATCAATATTCATGAATACGCGGTAGATTTACTACAAAACAACAAAAAAAAGTTACTTTTTACCCTTTTCTTTAAATCAATGTTGCAAGTAAATTTTTTTTAGTCCTAAAAATATCTTGCAGAAAATATATTCCAGGTTTCGAAACTGTTCTTACATTGTCTGTGCGGTCATGGGTTGCTGAAATATCGATGATCAAAGACAAAAAAGATCCTTTTTCATTAAAAGTCAAATATCTCAGTGACAAATCGACGTAAAAAGAACATAAAAAAGCAAATAAAGCCGAATGAACAAGCTAACCGGCTTATGTATTGATTTGATTAATAAAAATTTCCCCAAGTCCGTGGACCAAAAAAAAAAATAAAAAAATATTTTTTTTTTCTCGCGCTATTTCTTAGGATTACGGAATAACCGTAGCTCAAAGAAATTTTTGACAAAATATTTCAAAACTTGAAGCTTTAAAATGGGGTTTTTAAATGTAAATACGACCATTTTTCATTTAGGTACAATATTTCAGAAGTCATCAAAAAAATTAAGAAATTTTATTGTTCTCTAAATTTTTTGGAATAGTAAAAGGTTTATGTAAGATGTTTTCTCGTTTTGAAGTTTTTGAGGTAATAAAAAATCTTTGTTCAAGGAGTTTTTCATTAAAGAGCTTAATTTTGAATTAATTTGGAAAATGGAAAAACAAAACATAAACGATGAATATAATTTGATCCATTTTCTCAAAGGGGAAAATACAAAATTTAAGACATCTTTGACATAAAAAAGTGACTTTAAACAATGCAACGTTACTAAAAAAAGATTAAATATTATTAAGACTTATTACTATTATTTTTTTACCTTAAGCAAGAGTACATTATTTTCATTTTTCAATGGGTGCATCCGCCCCGACGCACCCATGTGTCGGTGCCCATGCACTTATTAATTTAGCATTACTTTAAAATTGGTGATATTTTGTTATATTTTTCATGTCTAATATTTTAGTAACAAATTCTGCAATATTATTCTTTATTTAGAAAGTCGGTCGTTTAAATTGAAAATTAGATATTAGAGTAAATAAATAATGTAAAATGCATTTTAAAGATAATCTATCCATTTGAAAACAAATTATACCAGATTTGCCTTTAATTGTTGATTTAAAAAAATTGTGCTAGCATAAACACAATTTCAAAAAATTACCCTTGAACATTTTTCTAGTTTAGACAAATGCTCGGAAAGCCTCGTAGTTATAATATTTCTGTTTTTCCATTCGAATATTTTAAATTTACGCGCATTTCTAGTGCGCAAGAAATTAAAACATTTAGAAACTAAATTTGCGCTCGCAATTTCAGTACTGAAATAAGTTGAGGCTTGTTTTCAGGAAGCAGAAACACCAGTTAGAGAAGGAGAAAAAACTGTATTTGGCCAATCAGGAGAAGCTGCAAAACACGGATAAAGCGAATTTGGCGCAAATCGCTGAGCTGCAAAAGCAGATACACGACCTGCAAACAACCAAAGTAATGAATTTTTCGTTTCGATCGATGTTTCATTGTTGAAATTTCAGAGACAGTTGGAGGAGCAGAACAGCGAACTCCGTACACAAATCTCCTCGCTGCAGCAGGAGTTGGACACGAGCGAGACCGTCCAGAAAGACTTTGTGCGTCTGTCGCAAAGCTTGCAGGTACGTACCTCGAAAATTTTCCACTTTTTCTAATTCCCAAAGCAGATGCAATTGGAGAAAATCCGCGAGTCCGACACCCAAGTCCGGTGGCAGCACGAAGAGGACGTCGAAAAGTGCCCCAATTGTCGCTCCGATTTCGGGGGCCCCAAACGCAAGGAGCACTGCCGACACTGCGGCCAAATTTTCTGCACCAATTGTCTCACTCACACGGTGGAAAGTGGGGCTAGCATGCTCCCATCCAAGGTTTGTGATGTCTGTCATACTCTCCTAGTCAAATCGTCGGCGCCCTACTTCAGCGAAGCGCCGCCGATGACTTGAATCCAGTTGATTAGTTCTAAGGTTGTAATCAAATGTCTAATAAAGTCTATTTCAATTTTATTTGAATAAATACAATCCAGTCCCATACTTAAATTGAAAACATTTACAACAACAACTGAAATGGAACCAAATGTTTCAAACACGTAGGCYACGTTGAAGCCTAACTTGTTTTATTTACAAATCAAATTAAATGCAACAATAATGGAAACAAAATGAAATGAAACCTAACTAATGGTGAAAATTATTCTACGTTAATCACGCCGTTTCTTTCTAAAACATATTGTTATTACGAGAGAAACTGAAGGGTTTATTTACGTTTTCAAATTATCTTCTTTGAGTAGTTTTGGTTTAGCTTTGCGTTGTGGCCTAGAATTTCCCGCCGGAATCGTCCCACTCTTGTTTCTCAAACTCATGGATCCTTGAGGGCTCAGTTTGGGTTTTTTCATTTTAAGTGGACTTTTTGGACTGGAAATGTTACGTTTTTTTGACTTCGATTCTGGAGTGACCTTTTCTTTCTTAGGAGACACTTTCACTTCTTTCTTAGGAGACATTTTCATTTTTTTATTTTCTTTCTGTCTCACACTAACAAAATTATTTTTCTGAATCCTGAAACAAATTGGATTAAACCATTTTACAACAATTAAGAACTAAATACTGTGTGATGGGGACCAGACCCAAGCTAAAAAAAAAACATTTAAAACATAACAAACTAAAAACAAAAAAAAATTACGTTTTCATCGTTTCCAGTTTCAGGGGAGTTGAGGAAAAAGTCGGATCCGTTGAAATGTCTATACTCTAAAAAAAAAAAAATTATTTTAAAAACTAACTATTTTGGCACACTTGCATTTAGTGAACTTTCTGATAAGTGACTGTTTAAATAATGTTCACGTGAGTAACTATCAACGACACTGTTTGGTAAGCGGGCCACCTGAATGTAAAGTTCCTTAACGGTYTTTGATCGCGAGTCTTCTTCTAAAATTGGCGAAAGGCTAAAAATGAGAAAATTAAAAAAAATAAAAACACAAGAAATTATCCTGACCAACTCCTGTCCGTTGCCCCACTGTCCTCTAGTTGCTCCTCTTCATGGAAGTTGTCACTAGACTTGGCATTTTCCTGTTGCAAGTCTGGCATGTTGAGGGGCTCAATGTGCAAATCCAGCCTTTGGACCACCTCCCTGTTAAAGCCATTAGTCGGTGGTTTCGGCGTCGTTGATTGATTTCGAGCATTTCGTGACACTAATGAACGTCTTTTCACAATTACGGGGCTGTCGAAATCTGAAATTTTCACTTGAGTTGAGCAATTTTGAAATTTTTACTTACTAGTCCTAGTAGTTTGAAGCGCATTTTTCGAACTGTCACACAACTGACTTAAAACAGTCGCGCTTCGCTCCCAGAAGCCGGCCAAACTGCTAAATTTTTGGTTCAAAGACTGGAAAAAAAAACACTGATAAATAGTTTTTTTTACATTGTTTAGACCACAAACTTCGTAGCGGGAGCGATACTGCCCATTCTCTCTCGTTAAATACGCTATTTCTCGCTGTATTTCGAGTTTTTTCAGTTTTAAAGCTTCAAGAGTCCCGGTTATTTCGTCGGGAGTGTCGGGGGGCGTACCAGCTGGAATAATTCAATAAAGAGGCAAACTAAAAACAATTCCACTTACAAGAATCGTTGTGGAGAGTCGACATCGTCATCAGTTCGTTTATTCAGTGATTCAGTGCATTATCTTGGTTTTTATTGAAATTTTTTTATTCTAACCTAAAACGAGAAGCTTGGTGACGCCATGTTTCGACCAAATCAACATTCAGGCAACAAGTACATCAGCACCCCAATATTTAACAAGAATTTTTCTATTATATAATTCTACCCTCTATCGATTAATACTCTTCAAATTGTTTTTTATTAACTATAAAAAAAATAATCGTCACTAGAAGAGAACAAATTTCTTTCGGATTGATACCCAATCGGGTGCCGGTAAAGTCAACGCCGACTTTTTTTATTTACATATCAAATGTGACAATAATGGAATCAAAACAACAAATAAAACCCTCAAACTGAGTGTAAAAATGCCAGTTTGTTACAAATAAGAGTGAAAAATGCGTCTCCACGTGTATTTGTTATGTGTTTTAGTCATAACACCCCCAATTTGGGGCTCTTATAATGTGTGTCACTCAGCCAAGGTAAGTACGATTTTTTTTCTCCAATTTTTGCAAAAACGCACTTTTTTAGAATGAAATACTCACCGACGAGGAATGCTCGGAATTATATTTTGATCGGAGCGAAAAAACGACGAGTTTGGGTCGTGTGAAACTCTATTTTGATAGAAATCTACTGTGGGTGACTCCGGGGGCCAAATCGTGGACTAGTAACACAAAACAATCATTTAATCAATGAAAGTTTGTAAATAAATGTCTTGTAGATAGTTTTCTACGAATAACTATGCAAAATAATGCCACGAACCGTATTTGTAGCAAATTGGTGCATAGCAGCCCCCCTGAATCGTATTGCGTGGCATTTAGGCCGGAAATGGAGAACGAGACGTTTCTCCTTGAATATAAGATCGAAAACCTTCCGGAAATTAGCTCAAGGGCGATTATTTTTACTCTTCCAATGCGCGAAATGCCGTTTTTTTTCTATGTTGATAAGACTGAGACTTCCCATTTGATTCTGAACGGCCAAAAATTGACAAACAATGCCACTTTTTACGAAGTTAAGGCATTTAAGGAAAAAAACGGAAACACCAATTTGCAAGACTTGCGACTATTTGCGCCCTCTGATCAACTTCAGTACGATTTTTCCACTTATAACGACGTCGGGAATTACTACTTTGTCGTATCTGTGATTAGCGATAATTGTACCGATAGTGTGTGTCTCCAGGTGGCAACACCAAAAATTTTTATTGGTAACAGTGAAATTCTGTTGTTTGTTTTTCTAATTGTGGTGTTTTAGGACGTAAGAGCACTCGTGTGGTCATTGGCATCGTGGGGGCTAGTTTTATCCTCCCCTTCGTGTTGTTTCTTTTCCATATTTTGACGAAAAAGTACCCCCAGGAGCCCCAAACCGAGCTCCAGGAACGCGTAGTCATCGCATATAAATCCTCCTTCAGGAAGCACAACGAAGTCGTTGCGGCCTTGGCCTCGCTATTACGCAAACTGGCCAAAAACCAGCTCATCATCAGCGTGGTTGACTTATCCAAAACGTCGAAAAAATTCTGTCTCGACTCGGTGCTGCTCGCCCACAGGGTCATCTTCGTAGCCCCGCCGAAAAGCGATGATAACCCCATTGTAATCGACAAGGAGTTAGCTGGGAAGGATTTGTATTGCGTGCTTTTCGACCACACTGTGGATAATCTTGGGGGTTTTGTCGATAAACGCAAAACGTTTAAAATGTTCGAGGACTTTGACGGGTTTATGGCCGCTTTGGACATTTCCGAGTACGAGTCCGGGTGTCCAGAATTGAGGAAGAGGGCCCAAGAGGCCAAAATTGAGACTGATCACGAGCTAAAAGGCGTCCCTATGATCGTGGTGACTGATTTGGAGCCCCGGGAAGATGATTCGCTCATTTAAGACTGAAGTGTCAATTTGGTGTAAAGTTGTTTTATGTTTAAAAAATATAATTCTCAAAATCGTTTAATGTGCAAAAAATTCGCTTAAACCTAACTTTACTTTACACTTAAAATACATCTCACTTCGGCAAGGCACAATGTCATTCGGCTAAATCAATGACTAGACTTCGTTAAAGACACAACCAATCACTGAGTATCCAACCCTAACTTGTCCTGAATTTGGTTGAACCGTTCCACGTATTTGGACAAGAGCTCTGGACTACTCAACGCATCCCTAAAACGCAATTAACCCCTTGCAAAAATCTCAAAAATCTCACCTTGTCGCAATCCTCTGAACCCTCAAAACGTGCGACTCTTTCGTCGGCGGCGACGTRCCAACCCATGGCATATCAGTTTTGGGTTGGTTTAAGGCACTAGGGACGAAATTCTGACTCGAGACAGGTTGGCCAACTTGGAAATGGACCGGTTCACGAGWCGTGTTTTTTTTCCGAACGATTCGCTTACCCGAATGCCAACGTTTAACCAAATATTTCATACGACAAATCGCAACCACCATGATACCCACATGTCTAGAAAAAAAAAACAATTAAAAGAAAGTTTCCTCAAAAATTAGAAATTACTTGAACTTTGAGCGTTTTGTGGGGATTGGGGGTTCAAGTGGAGCGACATAAACCGTTTCAATGAGTGATATAAGATATTTTTTCTGCCACACCAACGCTTTACGGTAACTCTCCGACCTTAAATATTTGGCAAAAAGGTAATTTGCGCGTTCTGAGGGGTCATCAAARGGCAAATAATTATTATGTTCCTCCAACGCKATTATCCTCTCCTCCAAGACRATTTTTTCGTTATTTAAACGCGCAATTAAGTCAATCATTTGRTTATTATCRRTAGCCACATTATTCAARTCTTTGATTTTTTCCATAATTTGATCCGGGACTAAATCACTCGATTTGGGCTTRAATTCCAARAAGCGTTTCAATTTYCGAATTTCGGCRTTATTTTGCTCTTGTAGCACTTTAGAAGCCCCCAATTCGTTAACTTTCCCCTCCAAATCCACCCTCAATTTCTCCAAACTGTCCCTCAAAAGTCGRTCATTGTGCTCAAAGCCCGATATTTGCGACTCRAATTCGATTATTTTCTCGRTTTTCACCCCRAATTCYTACTTTTTACTTTCCCTCAAATCCCTCAATTCGCGTTTCAACGRCTCYTCTTGACTATAKGGCAAAGACTTTGRCTCAACTTCACCAACTCTCAACTTCTCTTCAATATCCAACGTTRCACTCAATTTCGTCCTCAATTGGCCGATTAAAACCGCATCCTCATATTGGACCCTCTCCAACTCCTTTTTCAAATTCTCATATTTGCGCTCTAATATCTCAAATTTCTTCTCAACCGATTCGCGGGCTTTCACCAATTGTCTATTTACAGATTTCTGTTTTTTCAACAGTAGTTTCAAACCCTCGATATCTTCACTCTCGAGTGACCCATCACTGACCGCATTCAATAAATTCGCATCCAAATAGGCCGAATAGTTCAATTCGCGTTCAATTTGACTCGTAATGTCCTCAATTGACTTTTTATCGACACTCAAAAGTTGGGCTTTGAGTGTATGCAACTCTTCAAACAACTCAGCGTTTTTCTTTTGTTCTTCACGCAAACGCCGACTGAGATCAACCACGTTTCCAGTCTCCTGTAATTTATTCTGTATTGTTTCCAAATTCGTATGAAGACTTTTACTATCGGCCTCCATGTGCTCAATTATTTTCTCTTTCTCTAACAGGAGATGTTGTAAGTGACGTAACTCGTCACCAATCTCCTCATTTCGCTTCCTCAAAAGCGGAATTTCGGCCTCAAAACCCTCAATTTCGCTCTCTTTAATCTTCACACTATTTTTCAATTCGTTGTTGACTTTATACAAAGTTTTCAGTTCCTTGTCACGTGACTCGAGCCGCTTATTACACTCCTGTAACTCTGTCTTGAATCTCGTAATTTCTTCCTCGTTTTTCTTTCTCTCCTCCTCAAACAATTTTATTTTATCCTCATTTGCCTTCCTCTCTTCCTCAAGCGATTTAATTGCATCCTCATTTTTCTTCCTATCTTCCTCAAGCGATTTTATTTTATCCTCATGTTTCTCGAATAATTGAGTCGCTTTCTGCAAATTATCTTCCGTTTCGTCGAGTTTCCCTTGCAGAAACTCAATTTTGGCTTCTAGTTGTTTCAATTGCTCCAATCTCTGTTCGTAGTCTCTGATTTTATCATTTTTCTCCTCCAATTCACTCCTCAAATTTGCAACTTCAATCTCATCCTCAAAACGGACATGTTTTTCGGTTGAATTAGCTTTAGGTTGCAGGGTCGGTTGTAGGGACATGAAATTTGTACTTTCAAGGATCGTCTTATCACTTTTCCGGCCCGGAATCGGTGATAAAGGAAGCGTATCGTTCTTTTGGCGCCGACACTGTTCGAAATTCTCCAATTCGTGAATTGAAACACCCGACAAAAGCATACGATTCAAAGATTCGACTTCTTTCTCATCCAAATTTAACGAATGATACAGTTGGAATTTTTGACTAGTTTCCTCAAAATTCTCCCTCAATTTCGAATTTTCCGACCTCAAAAACTCCACTTGTTCTTGCATTCGCACCACGATTTCGTCCTCTTTCTCACGCTCTTCTAATCGTTTCTTTGTTTCCTCAATACTGGATTTTAATTGCGCTATTGTTTTGTCCCGTTTGGCGATTTTCTCCTCCAAACTGGCGATGGTATTTTTCAAATCGTAATTTTGGACCTCCAATGACGTATTTGTTTGTTTTTCGATGTGTTCAGCACGGATTCGTTGCTCGTCGAGACGAATTTGCAAATTCGAAATTAAGACTAAATGATCCGACATTTGTTTTTTCAAAATTTCACGTTCAGTTTGCGATTCCTGTAATATTTTTTTTAGTCAAGTCGCAAACCTTTTACAGAAACCTACCTCCAAGTCGTTTTTAAGGGAAACAATTTGCATCTCAAGGTCTCGGATTCGTTTAACAGCGGCATCTTCGGCTCGCGAATGCCTCAATAATTTTTCTTTCAGTCTTGCCAACTGTTGAAGGGGGATTTCGCATTCGTCGTAAATTGAACGTTCCTGAATTGACATATCCTCACTCGGGGAACTACACGTTGTTGAAATCGTCGAATGTAGGCCTTCTAGATCCTTCGTTCTTTTATCTAGCGTAGTTTCAAAGTCGCACAACTAAAAAAAATTGGTGTTTTTTTGGGGTGAAAATATTTTTGGTTAATTACTTGATTTTTGATTTGTTTTAAGGCCCCCTCACTGCCGGCTATTTCACTGGTCAATCTTAACCTTTGAACTTCATTTTCTAAATCGCCGACGTACTGATGAAACTCTCTCACATCCGAAACGTCTTTAGTTTTCTCGTCAGTGTCTTGTTGTTTCACAATCACCTCCAATTCGCTCACTATACTCCTCAATTCCTCCTCGGTTGAGGTTTTCACTTTGACTTGTTCCTCCAAATCTCGGATAATGTCCCTCAATTCGTAGATTTTCTCCACGGCTTCCTCTCTTTCGCCTTCAACCTCTTTCACTTTCTTCTCGCCGACTTCGACTAGCTTTGACATATCACGTAGTTGTTGTTCCAGATGTTCGACCTGGAAGAGGGCGAAAATTTCGATTATTTTCGTCAAAAGAAGGCGACATGCTGCCAACTGAATTGCGCCAAAAATAACTCTCGAGTTTCCTGTTCTTTCGAGTGCTTTATAAATAGGATTTTCTAAGACTACTACAGGTGAACATAAAAACCCACTAAACCCCCTTCATGCTGTTAGTGCGGAAAGCATCACACCAGACCAACAAACCTCGCTCGTGTAACGTTCATAGGTGACTTTATCCTTTTCCCTCTCTCGTAAATGGTCTTTTAACGCATCGATTTCCTTCTGGGCATCGTCACGCTCTTGTTCGCGTTCGGCGGCTTGATCCTCCAAAAACTGACAAGTTATTTTGTATTTCTTGTCGGCGGCCTCGATCTGAGCAAAACACGGCGATTACTAGCCGAGGGGGCGATGCAATAATGGCATTTTAATTATGTTTAAGGGAGATTAAGCTGCTTTATCGCTTTGTTACTGTTTGAATGAGGATTAAATGTGATAAGCGATGATTCAGAGACGTTCATGAGAGCAATTCCAAAAATATTGGTAAAAAAACAGGAAATCAAGAACTTTTTTAAATTGCTTGCTTTAACACGTAGTATTTTTTAACGCTCTTTCACTGATCGAACAGATTAAAATTTTAGAAAAATGAAAAAAAATAACAAGTCAGAAAGACAAAACATAAAAATTCGAAACCATTCAGGAAAAAACTGGACCATTTCATCAGAGTTTAAAAAACCTTCAAAATTAAATTTATTGATTTTTTTCATTTAAAAATAATAAAATTAACAATTTTGTACGAAAATTTTGAAAATTTTAGTCTAAACTTTTATTTAAATTTCTATCTTCAGGGCTTGTTATTTTGTCACAGTGCCCTGCAATTTTTTTGTAAAAAAGACCAAAAAAAAAACGTAAATGACCACAAAAATAAAATAAAAACCAAACCTGAAAAATAAGGTGATTGGATTTAAAATATATGTAAGTGGAAGTAAAGCAAGAGCTTGAAACCCATTTACGCCCGCGTAGCGGCGAGTTGAAAAACAAACGATTTCCTGAATGGCCTTCTTTAACGAGTTTTTTTATACTATTTTTTCTATTTTACGCTGTCTCTCAAAAAAAAAGCGATGATTCAGAGACGTTCATGAGAACAATTCCAAAAAGATTGGTAAAAAACAGGAAATCAAGAATTTTTTAAAATTGATTCCTTTTTGAATATAACGACACGAAATATTTTTTAACGCTCTTTCATTGATCGAACAGATTAAAATTTTGGACTCAAATTAGACAGTTTCTCAATAAGTGTAGCAAAATGAAAAAATAATAATAAAAGTCAGAAAGACAAAACATAAAAATTCGAAACCGTTCAGGAAAAAACTGGACTATTTCATCAGTTTAAAAATTCAAAATTAAATTTATCGATTTTTTCATTTAAAAATAATAAAATTAACAATTTTGTACGAAAATTTTGAAAATTTTAGACTAAACTTTTATTCAAATTTCTATCTTCAGGGCTTGTTATTTTGTCACAGTACTTTGCCATTTTTTTTTTTGTAAAAAAGACCAAAAAAAAACGTAAATGACCACAAAAATAAAGTAAAAACCAAACCTGAAAAATAAGGTGATTGGATTTAAAATATATGTAAGTGGAATTAAAGCAAGAGTTTGAAACCCATTTACGCCCGCGTAGCGGCGAGATGAAAAACAAACGATTTCTTGAATGGCCTTCTTTAACGGGTTTTTTTATACTATTTTTTCTATTTTACGCTGTCTCTCAAGAAAAAAAATCTTTAAATTTAGAGAATTTTGCGCCAGTTGGTAACACCATCGTCATCAACATTACAAACATAAAATACACTAGGCTATTAACGCACTCTTAAAAAACTGTGAACGCACCCGAACGAGTTTGTTAATTTTTTGTGTTTTAAAATTCTTATTTTTTTTTAATCATCAAAACCAGCAAGAATAAATTAAAAAACAACAATTTTATAGATATTTTAAAAATATATTCAAAAAAGTATAAATTCTTTGTTATTTTGTCACCGCACTCCTATAACGAGTTTTTTTACACTATTTTTTCTACTTTGTGCTGTTTTTAAAGAAAAAAAATTCTTCAAATTTTGAGAAATTTGCGCCAGTTGGTAAAACATAAAATACACTACGCTATTAACGCACTCTAAAAAACTGTTAACGCACCCAAATGAGTTTGTTAATAGCGTTGTTAAAGACGCAAAATAGAAAAAAAAAAAAAACACAACAGAACACAAAAAATAAGAAAATCGCTTAATCTCCGCTCTCGGAGTTCAAAAACGACTAAAATCCAATTTTTTGCCTTTTTAAATTTCTCAATTAATTTTTTAATCATCAAAAACAGCAAGAATAAGATAAAAAACAACAATTATGTAGAGATATTCTAAAAAAAATATTGATAAAAGGATTAATTTTTTGTTATTTTGTCACCGCATTCCCTACAATTTAATTTTAAATGGAATCAAACAAAAATAAATAGAACCCAAATCTGAAAACCAGTAAATTAAAAACAAAACAAATCTGGCTTTGTCCAAAAAGAAAAATCGGAAATCAAAAAGAAAAAAATGTTTTAAATCAAAACCCCTATTCGTTCAGTCCCCGCTCTCAGAGTTCAAAAACCGCCCAAAATCAAACATTTGTATCTTGAAATTGAAACAACAATTTTGTTGCCAAATTTTTAATAACAAAACACCAAAAATAAAAAAAAAACATTTTACTTTTTCCCTTATTTCCCGTCTACGAACCTGCTGTTTCAAATCCTCCCGTTCCCTCCTCGCCTCCTCCACTATTTTATCCCCAACTCTCGCCAACCCTTCCACCAATCGCGTCACATTTTGGTCCACTTGACCCCGATTTTCCACCAAAACCCTTGCCTCATCCTGGAGGACCCTCAGTGCTGCCACTGCTTCGGCTAAAACCCTCAAATTGGTGAAATTAAAACCACAAAAAAAAAACACTCACCTAAACCTCTAACCCCACGATCCCCATCTTCACCATAACCTTCGGAAACAATTTCTTTGTGACCGTTTTCGATCAATTCGGCGATTTTATCACGCGCTGTTAGTAAATCACATTCGAGGATTTTCTGACGTTCGAGGAGTTGTTCAAGTTGACCTTCAAGAGCCCCCCTGTCGGTCTCAAGCGACTGAACTATACTTCTAGCCTCTGATAATTGCTCAACCAATTCGTTTTTAATCTGAGTCTCYTTTATCAATTTTCGAGTCAACGAAGTCATTTCGTCACTTTTCCGTCTCGGAACCTCAATTTCCTCACTCCTGAAACTCGTACTCAATTGCAAGATGGCATTAGCATCGGCTTTCAATTTTTCTAAACACGACCCTAGCTCACTCTTCAAATCAATCGATTCCAAATCCTTATCAGGCGAATTATCAATTAAATCAATCAAATCGTTAAAATTCGGGGTCAAATGCACCCTTTTCACCCCACTAGTGTTCTCAAACGAGTCCAATTCCTTCTCAATTTGTGTAAAATTTTTCGTCATGAGTTCCTCAACCAAAGTATTATTGAGCTCATCCTCACATTGAGTAAAATATTTAATCAATTCCCCGAGTAGATTACGCAATGCTAGCGTTTGTTTTTTGAGTAAATCGCGTTCTTTGAGTAATTCGAGTTCGCCTTTACTCAAACTGTCCGCGTCGCGAAGACTGCGTCTACGTGCGCGCTCTAAAGCTCCGTTGAGGTTCCTCACGTGTTCCTCCTTCAAACGAGCGATTTCCTCCAGGTGTTGCTGATTGAGGAGGGCGATTTCGCGCTGGTATTTCTCGGCAAAGCGCGACTTCAGCTGGAGGAGCTCCTCGGGCCACTCCTCGTCGAGGGAGTCGCTGGCGACAAGACGCTACACAAAAACAAAATGAAAAATGAAACTGCCTCCTTATCACCCGGATCTAAACCCCATTAAATAAAACAACAAAAATAAACAGAAAACAACAAATTTCTTCCTCTAAATTACCCAAAAGCACAGACAATAATATCTAAAGAGTGCCACTACAGCAGTGAATTGCTTCAGCAAGTGAAATCTTAACGCTCGAGTCAGAAAAAAAATAGAAAAAAAGTCAAATAAAATATCAGGCCGAGTTTACGATTTGCGCATCGTTCTTTTTAATTAGAGATATGTACATCGAAAACAATTATGTTTACGACAAAACGGTCAGCCATCTTTAAGATGGTGTTTACAATTTTTTTTTATCTACAAATGTTTCAAGTTTCTGAACATTCAAAGTTCCACAAATAATATTTTAGATGTGATGATATTTATTGATTTTTTTCATTTAATAATAATAAATGTAAAAATTAACAACTTTGTACGTAATTGTTAAAAGTAATTTTTGGTTTAAACTTTTATTCAAATTTGTATCTTCAGGGCTTATTTTTTTTCAGAGTACAATAAAAAAGACCAAAAAAAAAATGTAAATGACATCACAAAAATAAAATAAAAACTAAACCTGGAAAAAAAAGTGATTGAATTTAAAATATGAGTGATATAATAAAATATAAGTGGCAAGAGTTTGAAATTCTTTTACAACCCGCGTAGCGACGAGTTGAAAAACAAACGATTCCTTGAATGGCCTTCTGTAAAGAGTTTTTTTTCCACTATTTTTTCTTTTGTGCTTTTTTTTAAGAAAAACAAACTTTAAATTTAGAGAATTTTGCGCCATTTGGTAACTCCAACATTAAAAAAAAAATAAAATACACTAGACTATTAACGCACTCTAAAAAAAACTGTTAACGGACCCAAACGAATTTATTAATAGCGTTGTTGCGAAATAGAAAAAAAAAAATACAACAGAACACACAAAATAAAAGGCAAATCTTCGCTCTCGGATTTCAAAAATTGGCTAATTATTTTTTTTAACCATCAAAACCAGCAAGAATAAGATAAAAAATGACAATTTTGTAGAGGTAGGTATTCTAAAAAAAAATATTTAAAAAGTTATTGCATTTTTGTTATTTTCTCACCAATCCGAAAATCAGTAAATTAAAAATAAAACAAATCTGGATTTGTTCAAAAAAAAATCGGGAGTTCAAACAAAAAAAATTAAAAAAAAACAACAGCACTTTATGCTATTTCCAATAGATCTGGCTCTATTTTAAGCCTGAATCAAAATTTTTCAACAAAATATAAATGCTTAAATAACAGTTTTCTTTCAAAATAAAGCAATTTGAGCTATTTCCAACCAAATTTTGTTAGACTTCACTGCACAAATCATTCTAAATCAAAGTATTTTATAAAAATAATTACTTAAAATTCAATTTTAGGCCAAAATGAAGCAATTTGTGCTATTTCAAATCGATTTGGTTCAATTTTATGCCGGAAATCAACCTTAATCAAAGTTTTTCAACAAAATAAATGCACAAAATAAAGTTGCGTAAATTGTATTATTAGCCCAGTCAAATTAGACAAAAATAGGGCGATCGGTGAAAAAAAAATCGTAGAGTGTGATTTTTTTTTAAACGCTTTCTTTACATTGGGTAGATCAAAAGTCCCCGAGGGCCGAGCTCGAGGAGGCTATATAGTGACCGAAAACGGTTATTTTAATATGTATTTTGTTAAATATACATTGATCTGCGAGGTTTTCTGGCTTAAAATCCAACTAAAACCATTGGAAACAAATCGACGCATTTTGGTTGGAAACCACAATTTTAACACTTGTTAGTTTTGAAAAAAATGAGAAAACAATGATTATAATTGCATTTATTTAGTTGTTCTTTTTCTATCTAAGTTTTAAAAGCAATGAAATAAAAAATGGCTGTATTAAAAAAGCGGTAAGCATAATGCAAACAAAAAATTACAGGCAGACAAAGCATTAAATTCTCAATAAGAGATAATGCAAAAATTTTGTCGAAAACTATATTAAAAAAATTTCAAACTTTTACCAATTTGCGCACAGTCTCATATTTTCTAAAATGCTGCGAATACAGTTCAAGATACAAAAAAATGTAAAAAAGAAAGTTGTAGAGAATTACATTTCGTTTAAAAAAAATCTCCAAGACCATATTTCTATTTCCAATGATTTGGGTTCCAAATACGCTCAAGCATTTTTACGGACGGAGCACAAATTTTAATTTTTTTTTTCTCATATTTCTCGTAAAAAAGTTAATCGTCAGTTTTTCACAGCTTATTAAGAACTTAAAGCTCATTAGTTTTGCATTTTTTACCCAAGCAAGTAGTAAACTAGTTGAATTTAAATTATTTAAAACAATTTGGGGCCGAGCCGGTATAGCGCCCTCATTTTGTATCTCGTTTCTTCCTTGTATTAAGTTCTCCTTACCCGAGCGTTAAGATTTCAATCTAAAACAGCTAATAAACACTCCTTAGTTATTTTACTCCGTGTCCAAAAGCCTCACAAATCGAACAAATTTCAAGTTTGATCAAAAAAATAATCACCGATCTCGACTCTGCCAACCCTTAAAATTAGCCACATTTGGGCCCCAATTACCTGTATCTGCATTTCTAACGCAGCAATGATGTCGATTTTAGCTAGAGTGACTTGTTCTTGCAACCGTCGCTCATAGCTTTGCACCACTTCGTCAATCTCAAACTCGCCCGAATTKGCCTAAGTCATGCGGTTAAAAGACACACAATTAGTACACAAAAACGCCCCAACACAAAACTTACAACTTCCTGTTGAGTCGTTGTAACAATTCGCCCCCTCAACTGTTGATTAAGATCATCGATTTCGTCATTGAGACTCTTCAACTTCTTCTCATGTTCAACGTTTAAAACATCAACACGATTATCGAAATCCTCTCTAAGTATCTCCAACTCGGCGTGATATTTATTCTGAAGCTCATTTTTTATCAAACTTAAATCAAATTTCAACAAGTTGCGAAGCTCAAATTTGCCGATTTCGGACTTGAGGAGCTCGAAATCGCCCTCCGAGAGTTCTTCCAAATTAAACTGATCAAAAATTTGAGTCAACTGAACCAAACTGTGGCGTAATTTAGACAAGTCTTTCCTCGAATAGTCGATTTTCGTGTCGCCCCCAGGACCGACAAAATCCGAACTGAGTTCGGCCTCGGAACACGAACTCGATTCGGACATTTTGCGACTCTGCTGACTGAAAACCTCCTCCGAGTAACTAAAAATGTGAAATTAACTCGATTTCGACTAAAACAATGGTTACTTTTTCTCCAAATCGGCGCATTTCTTCTCGAAGTAGGTCCTCAACTCCTCCATTTCCTTCGAATGTTTGGCATCTAGCGCGATTTTGAGACCCTCAATTTCACTCTCACACTGGACCTTATCCGAACTAAACTTGGTCTAAAAACGCAGAATGAAATAAAAAAATTATCGGTTTTTTACCCCCCAAACCTTCAAATTACTGATTTCATTCTCGAGCGTCCTTTTACTCATCTCAACATAGTTACTAAACGCGACCTTCACCTCGTGGAATAACCCCACTTGTGAGGGCCCTAAATTCGCCTCAAACTTTGAGCAAATCTCATCGAAATCGAAGCCTTTTTTGTGTTCCTTGAGCAAATTCGATGTTTTCGCGAGCTGTTCTTGCAACTGTGCAATTTCGTTCTTAAACTGTTGTTTCATTTCTTCGCGATTTAGGATCGATTGTTGGAGCGAATTCGTCAATTTTTCGATTTGTTCGTCTTTGTGGACGATTGCGTTGTGATACTCGATTAATTTACTATGGCATTCGTCTTGAAACTGCTTGTATTCAGTCGTGGTGGTCCCCAGACTCGACGTATTACTCAACAACTCGCGAAAGGAGTCGAGTTCGGAGGTCAAAGCCGCGATTGTGGTGTCTTTAACAGCAATCAACTCCTCGAAATCCTTGACTCGTTTGCACACCTCGTCAAAACTGTCGTTTCGCAGACTCGTGAGGTTGAAATTGACGCTTTTGCCGGCGTTGTAGCTGTTTAGAAGCTTGTCGTCGAGGTCCACGTTCGCGAAGATGTTCAAGCTTTCGTCCCGCGACTCCGAATCGGACTTGAATTGGTCGTTGCTGAGGATTTCTTCTAAAATACTTTGAGCGTGGTTTCTACCTTCCATATTTCTACTAATGAAACGTTCTAAACCGGTTAAACTAACAAAACTACTGGTAAAACTATCACTAAGCGATGGCGGTTTCGGTTCTTGCGAGATCCTTTCATCTGATGGCAAATCCAATACTAGGGGGTAAATTTCAGGTAAATTGCTCACTTCCAGTTCTTGCATCGAACGGTCGTTTTCTATGCTCGAGAAGTGCTCAGATATCGTGCTTGTCTCGTTCTTATCGGACAAAGGCGGGGTCAGAGACAGCGTCAAGCTGCTACTACCGGAGCCCTCATGGGGGTCCAACTCCTGATGAAAATCTATATTTAGCACGCATTCTACCATTCTATTAATAAAGACACTCACCCGATTGGCCGAATTACCCTCCATTGTACAAAAACAACTTTATTTCAATCATTAAACATTAAGGAAAATTAGAACAAACGTCAAATTGTGACATTTTCGATTTTGTTTTGTTGTCGTTATAGGCGACTATGATTGATCGGTTTTAAAATAATCAACGAAAATGACACGTCGAAATTTTAATTTAATACGAAGTGACACGAAATGGCACAAAAAATGACACAGAATACGGCACAGTAACTCAAAACCCAACAATTTTAAAATTTTACGGTTAGAATTTTAACCGACCTGGCGGGTAGTTCAAATGACCTGTCATTTTGCAGCGCTAAATTCAAACCGTTGTAACTTTGCGCAATGAGCAAATAAAGTTTGAGCCAACATTTGATCGCAAATAACACGTTTTTGTTGTATTAATAATAGTATCAGTGCAAATATGCACTGCGTCTTTTATGAATAGAAATTACTATTCTATTTGTAATACTTTGATCCTGTCTGGGGTTATAAATCTTTAATTTATTTAAAAAAGATAAAGACGATTTAATAAATGGCCCGACAGGATTATTTTTCTAGTCATTTTAAGCAAAAATGGCCAAAACGACCAATTTTTACTTTTACTACACGGCGTGCGTGGGTAAGTCCCCCAATTATCAACTTGTGTCAAAATTAATCAAGTTTTTCACCAGTGAATTTGATTGCTTTCACTGCCGGTCTTGCCTACGGCTTGGCGTCCCCTCTTCTCCCGAGACTCAACGGAAGTGTGGACCCTGATAACAACCCATTGGACCCACCCGCAACCCCCTCCGAAGAGTCTCTAATCGCGTCTTTAGTCTCACTGGGGGCCATTTTCGGCCCCCTTTTTGCCGGTCTTCCTGTTGATCAAATCGGCCGGAAGAAAACTCTCCTAATCGTGGCTTTGCCCATGATTACATCATTCCTTATCATGGCTTTCGCCCATTCGGTGGTACTTTTCTACATTGCGCGTTTGATAATGGGTGTGGGGGCTGGAAGCATCTATACAATTTTACCCATGTACTTAGGTGAAATCTCCGAGGACCACAATCGGGGCACTTTAGGGTGTCTCATGTCGACTTTCATCGCCTCGGGGTTGCTTTTTGTTTACACAGTGGGGCCTTTTGTCACAATCCGGAGCTTTTGTTTAATGTGTTTGGTGCCCCTGGGGGCGTTTTTGGTGTTATTTGGGGTGTGGGCCCCTGAGACGCCTCAATTTTTGGCTTTGAAGGGCGACGAGGAGGGTTTGAAGGGGTGTTTATCCAAATTGAGGAGTGTGGGGGAGGTTGATAAGGAGATTTTGAGGATTAAGGAGAGTCTCAACCGGAATCGAGGAGGTTTGAGGGAGTTGTTCCAGTCAAGGGCTAGTCGCAAAGGTTTGGTTATAACCGTTGGTTTCATGGTTTTGCAACAACTGGCAGGTATCAACGCAGTCAATTCGTACTTGCATACGATTTTCGATGCAACAGGAAGTGGCCTTTCACCGGAAATCTCCTCAATCATTATAGGAACCGTTCAAGTCTTCACCACGATGTTAACATCCTCGCTTGTAGACAAATCAGGTCGGAGAATTCTTCTTTTACTTTCAGTGATCGGTTCAGGTGTTTCTCTTGTTTCACTCGGGTTGTATTTCCACCTCAAAACCAACAATTTCCAAGTCGATACACTCTCCTGGCTTCCAGTAATGAGTTTAGTTGTTTTTATTATCTCGTTTAATATCGGTTTGGGGCCGATTCCTTGGGCCGTCATGGCGGAATTGTTCCCACCAAATGTTAAATCAATTGCTTCGACTTTCTCAAGTATTGTGTGTTTTATCGGGGCTTTTACTATCACCTTATTTTTTCCATCGTTAGCAGAAGTGCTAGGTATGGCACAAGCGTTCTGGTTCTTTGCCACTTTTTGTGCCCTGGGGGCCGTTTTCATCTATTTTATCCTACCGGAAACAAAGGGAAAGAGCTTGCAAGAAATTCAAACGCTTTTGGACAAAAATTTTATAAAATAAAATACTTTTTTATTTATCTATAATGAATTTTATTGTCTGTGATAGGAAATTGCAACTTAACAGTGTTTAAATAAATAATAGCTTTTTAAATTCTTGCGTGTTTATATGTTTCCTTCCTCCCACGAAATTGGCCTTGTTAGCAATTATTTTTATTCTTTTTGTAACTATTTTTTGAAGAAAGTGGTTCAAAACAAAATATCCCAAGGTATGAGCCTTTTAAATCAAGCTTTCAGATAAATTTCAAATTAAAGTYACCTATGACATTGAAATTAAGTTGGCAACACGAAATTATTGGTCATGTGACGACCATGGCCGGTGAATTTTATAGTTTGCGTTGCCAACATAATTCAAAGCCATGGAACACTTTGATCAGAAATTTATTTCTCTAAAGTATTGACTATGTAGGTCCTTAAATGTCTTTCAAAAATAAAAAAAATACTAGTTAGGAGACTCAATTTACAACTTTTTGACAAAAGTAGCTTAAAATTTCTGTAACAACAAAGCTTTTTTGAATAATTTAATACAATAAAGAAAAAACACCATAAGTATTTTTTGAGTTGGTTGTACCGGGTGATCAAATTTGAGTGCTAGAGTTGGTAACTTCCATATTGACAGCATTTTTTGACATTTCAAATATCTGTCAAAGAAAACCGTGTCCGGTTGCAATATTGCAAACATCAGAATAAGAAAAAATATTCGTAATTCCGTTGCCAACATAAACAAATAAACAATCATTTTCAATAATATAGGTGTAAATTATTTTACATGTAATTGTTTAATACAAAAAAGGACGTCAGTCTGATAATTTATGATTTAATCTTTTATAAAACACGAAAACCAGGAAGCAACATTAGAATTGGTCTAGATTAAACTTGTAATTAGTTATCTATTTTTTTTTTGTTTTATCATTAATTTTGTTATTGTTGACATAATATAATTGCAATTTTGTATCAATTGTCCCACTATGTTGAAATATTCGCCGCCATTTTTCGTATTTTTCTCTTTATTTCATCCAACAATAAAAAAAATATCTTTGAGTTTAAAACTTGACATTGGCCAACTCTCTTCAAGTATTTACTTAAACCAGTATAAATTTATAACATAATGTGTCTTGTTCTTCAGATAACGTTTTTGGTTGGTTTTAACACTTATCTATTTATTTTTCCAACAACAATGCTTCGTCAAAGATATAAATCAATATGACACAGTTAACAAAAAACGTTATTACGCGTTCAAACATGGAGAAAGACGAAACTTTTATTCAAGAAGTGGTTTATAAACCGACCACTGAGACTAAAGCACCAGCAGTGCTAAAACCGGAAATCACCCCCAAAACTAGCACTTTCCTCTACTTTTCTGCCTCAGTCGGTAAGTAAAAATCACTAGAGTTAAATATTGGTAAAACTGTGTGATTCCCAGCCGACTTGGTTGCTTTCTCCGCTGGTGTTGCTTTCGGGTGGACTTCCCCCGTTTTGCCGAAACTAAACGGGAGTGTGGACCCGGAAAACAACCCCTTGGGACGTCCCATCACCCACAATGAAGGATCCTGGATCGCTGGGTTGGTCTGTCTGGGTGCAATCRTGGGCCCATTGCTCGCCGGTCCCATCGCTGATAAGCTGGGTCGTAAAAAAACCCTTATTTTGGCGGCTTGTCCCATGACGGGATCTCTCCTTCTGGCAGCTTACGCCACCACAACACCACTCTTATTCGTTTCAAGGTTCATCATGGGTGTGGGGGCTGGTAGTGTTTTCACGATTTTGCCCATTTATTTGGCAGAAATCGCCCAGGACCATAATCGTGGAATGCTGGGCTGTTCCATGGGCGCTTCTGTGGCTTCTGGGCTACTTTTCGCGTTCTCTGTGGGTCCGTTTCTGACAGTTGGGACATTTTGTCTCGTTTGCACTCTTCCACTCCTTGCGTTTTTGTCAATTTTTTCGGTTTTTGTCCCGGAAAGTCCTCAATTTCTGGCGGCGGTTAACCGGACTCGAGACTTGGAGAAATGTTTGAGGAAATTGAGGAGTGAGAAAGATGTTGGGGGCGAAGTCTCGGAAATCACTCAACGGGTTTTTGAGGAACGTAAAGTCAAAAGTGGGGTCACAGACTTGTTCAAAATCCGGGCTTTGAGGAGAGGATTCATCGTCACTGTTGGRGTTGTGGTTTTGCAGCAATTTGCCGGAATTAACGCSGTTTTGTCGTACATGCAGACGATTTTTGACGCCTCCGGAAGCGGCCAAAGCCCGGAAATGTCCACGATTTTCATCGGAGTTGTGCAAATGGCCACCACGATTGTCACCTCCTTCTTGGCGGATCGTCTAGGTCGGAGGATTTTGCTCCTGACTTCGTCCATCGGTTCTTGCGTTTCGTTGCTCGCACTCGGGTTCTATTTTTATCGCAAAAATAACCATTTCGATGTTGGGGGAATTTCGTGGCTGCCTGTGGCCAGTTTGGTGGTGTATATAGTGGCGTTTAATGTGGGTTTGGGGCCGCTGCCGTGGGCCGTCATGGGGGAACTTTTTCCCTCAAGTGTCAAGTCAGTCGCATCGACTCTGACTTGTTTTATCTGTTTTGTGGCCGCTTTTGTTATCACTTTGTTGTTTCCGATTTTGTCGACGGTTCTTGGAATGGCCAATTCGTTCTGGTTTTTCGCACTGATGTGTCTTTTAGGGACGTTTTTCATGTTTTGGATGCTACCAGAGACTAAGGGGAAGAGTTTGCAAGAAATACAAAAATTGTTAGAGGGCAATTGAATATTTATTAAATAAATTCGTTACACGAAGTGTGATTTTTTTTAATTAAAAACTAAAACTTCAGTATATTGTCGACAAAAAATTGTGATTGTTTTCAATTTAAAAATTTTTATATATTTTTGAACTTACCCACAACAGAATTGAATTGAAATTTTAAAAAGCTTATTTTTTGCAGTGATTTTTTTTTTGATTTTATTGAAAGAAATTTTTCTGAAAAATTATTGAAAAATCTGATCAATTTATAGTCTTGAAAATAACTGC